GCACCTGGTAGGAAGGAGCCGTTGTCCCGCTGGGGCTGGCAGGAGGCTGTGGTTATCTAAGGGGTCTCACAGACTCGCTAATAGGTGGCAGGAAAAGGGGGGGGGGCCGCTTTATCGGGTAATAGTGTCACCTGCAACCAGCCCCGTGACAGTGCTGGGCTCTTACCCCCCACCCCAGCTCTCCCACAGGCTTATTTCAGATACCCCGTCTCCTCGGGCGGTCCAGCCCTTGGCACCAGCATGGAGAGAGCTCCAGGGTGACCCCAGCTGTTCGGTCTCCCACCCCCGCTGGGCGCCCGTACCTTGACGGAGAAGGCGAGTGCCACGAAGCCGAGGCAGCAGAAGTTCATGTAGATGGTGTTGAAGATGGACCAGATGAGGTGGTCACGGGGCGGTGGGGAGGTGAGGGCGGTGGGAGATGGATCCCGCTTGTGGGACGGTGCAGGCAGATAGTCCTCCCGTGGGTAGGAGGTGTCCATGGCCACGGAGAGGGGCACCCCACGGCTCTCCTGCTCCACCAGCCTGGCTGGGGAGCCGGGCAGGGCGGCCCCTTTTATATACTCCCCGTCTCTGGCAAAACCTCATCTCCTCTATATATAAACCCAAGAAATTACAGCCCTCCTCAGGCTGTGGTTATCAGCAAGGCTTGGCTGGGAGCTTGGAGAAACAAATCTGGTTTCATGAGCCTGTGAGCATTTTATATCTAGCCTTCCTTCTGTGATGAGCACAGACAGCTCCAGCGTGAGAGGGAGCGAGGAGAGGCTGGGCGCTCCGGGAGGACCATCAGGACGGAGCCAGGGGATGACTTTGAAACCAAGTGACCATCACCCCAAGATGCTGATATGAGATGGACCCTCGGTGCCAGAATCTCTCACTGCATTGGCTCATACCAGGACCTTCAGCCCGATCCCTCCAGGGAATCTTGGCAGGAAGATGACTTGCTCACAGTGCATTTGGGCCACCAAATGCATCAAAAGGGAACTTGATACCAAAATGTGGAAGAGCTACTTCTCTGGGGTTCCCTGAAGAGGGAGGAGATGGGGCTGTGTGGCAGGATATGGTGCATAGTCAGTAAAACACAGAGATTTTTTTTTTTTTTTTTTTCCTTCTTCTGCCATGCCCAAACTTTTAGGAAGAAACTTATCTGGGATGTGGGCTGGAAGTGCTCTGCTCCCTGGTGGGGATGGTGGCAGAGAGGGGTGGAGCCGGCAGCAGGAGGAGGAGGAGGAGGCTGCCCCGAAGATGCACAGGGTCCCTCTTCTCCTTCCCCGCCGTGAATAAGGTGACAGGCAACGGGGTTTAGCAGGACGAGCTTTATTTGTGGCAACAGTGATGTACGTGTGTCAGAGCTCCCAGGAAGCCCAGAAGCTCCCTGCTGGGGCGCGGGAGCAGATGAAAGAGGGGCCCTGTCCCCCACGTCCTACCCTGGCCCCTCCCTCGCCTTCCACGTGGTGGCTGTGCTGGGACACCAGGGGTGCGGGCAGGGAGGGGACAGGGCTTTGTTCCCTTCCCCCTGCACCACGCGCCCAAAATGGGGACATGTGGGGAGGATGAGGAGGGGGGAGAAGAAGCACCCACAGGGCAGCAGCAAGCAGATCAGTGGCCACGCAGCATGTTCAGCCTGATGATGACGATGATGATGGCCACCAGCGCAATGGAGCCAATGATGTTCAGCACCTTGGCACGGGCACCGTATAGCCGGGCACGCTCCAGGTCCCCCAGAACCTTGCAGTCACGGGCCTGCGGGGGCAAATGTGGTCCTGGGGCTCAGGGGAGGGGG